CCTTGGCATGGCCTTGACCCCTCACCATCGGCGTAATCGACTGCAGTGGGCACGACAAGTTTACAGGTGGCAAGTACGGAATTGGCGACGAGTCCTATTCACAGACGAAAGCCGCTTCAGCCTGTACCGTAATGATGGCAGACAGCGTTTGTACCGACGTCGTGGTGAACGTTTATGCATCCAAGAAGTTCATCCTTACGGTGGTGGTGGTGTGATGGTATGGGGCGTGGTGACGAAAAAACTCCATTGGTGCTGATAAATGGACATCTGAATGCACATCAGTACATTCAAGAGGTTCTGCAGCCCGTTGTCTTGCCATTCTTGCAAACTCAGCCACAGGGTGTCATATTCCAGCATGATAACGTGAGGCCCCACACAGCAAGAGCACCAATCAACGTCTTGCTGCAAAACAACGTTCATGTTCTGCCGTGGCCTGCCTGTTCTCCGGATATGAATCCCATTGAGCACTTATGGGATCACTTGAACAGGCAAAGCAGGCGTCGCATACCCATTCCACATGACCGTCAAGAACTGGGACGTGCGCTCAGAGAGGAATGGAACCGCATACCTGCTGACGTCATTCGACTTTTGACCACGTCGATGAGGAGACGTGTCCGGGCCTGTGTTGACGTGGCAGGAGGTCACACGCGTTATTAACAATGGTAGAGCTTCATGGTCGTGCACCGTGTTACCAACAGTCACTATAGAGTAAAAATGAATTCATCAAATTCTGCCCCCGGTACGTTTCATTCAAAGTTAGGACTGATGTTGAATCAATCCAATGGTGTTTCTTTGTGTTGATTATTGTCTTTTGATGACTGGATAAAATCACCTTCACTTCACCAAGATATCGTCTTTCGTTTGTCTTTTAGTGATACTGAAAGAGGACCTATACTTTCTTTTGCCCGCTAGTTTATATTCTATTTCATGCGGAGCGGTGGGGTAGCCTAGTGGTTCAACCGATCGCTCGTCACGCCGAAGACCGCCGTGATATTGCTGGAATATTGCTAAAAGCAGCGTAAAACCCAACTTACTCACTCACTCTATTTCATGCATCAGTTTCGCGCAACTATATAGTTGATTTTTGTGTGCAATGCATCACGCTCCATTACTTACAAAATTCAGTCTACAAAATCAGTCGTGAACCCGTTTATACCTCCCTGCTGTTTTCACATCGCCAACCTATCTATAATGAACAGGGGCGATGGGGTAGCCTAATGGTTAAAGCGTTCGCTCGTCACGCCGAAGACCCGGGTTCGATTCCACACATGGGTACAATATGTGAAGCCCATTTCTGGTGTCCCCCGCCGTGATATTGCTGGAATATTGCTAAAAGCGGCGTAAAACCCAACTCACTCACTCACTCACTCTACAATGAACAGCAATTACTTTATAAGTTCCAAGTTGACTGACGATAAGAAATAGCATTGATACACGAAATGTCTGTAATTGTATTCCATTGTAGAGACTTGGAACGGCTTTTAACAGACATGTAAGTAACCTTTCCTCTGATATGAAGCTGGAACACTGGAAAGACGTAGGTATTTGTTCTGTGAAGTTGGAAAGACACGTTTCACTACAAGAAAAGGATGCAAAAGAGTGAGCATGGTGTTTTCCCGCTTGTAGCAATATTTCAGCAATATAATGACCAGATATATGTTTAAGCATCCATGTCGGGCCGTCGGTGTGACAGGCGAATGACTTAATCACTAGGCTATCCCCGTCGCCCGATAAAAACGGTTTAAGTCGTGCGAGCTCAAAGCGCAATATCGGCATTCTATCAATTGGTCAGCGAACGTCTATATACAGTGTGTGCAACGGATAGAAAGACTATATACATACTTATGTAACAAAGTGAAGGTTGATATATGCAATTAGTATATAAATAATTTGAATTAACCATTAGTTCATAAGTGCGTAAGTTCAAACATTAGCATATGGGTGAGTGGGTGAGCTAAATGACCAAAGTAACCAACCTGACCAAGGTTATGACTAGTCACTTCTTAAATGAAAGGGGTTAACTTGAGTACAGTGTTTACTAGGGGTGGGTATTGCAGCAAATATTCATATTGCGATGCGAAAGCATGTATTGCGATATGTATTGCAATATATTGCATGAAATATTTTTAAACAAAACACTACTTATAGTCGAGTTACTGCATGATTTATAGAGCAAAAACACAACAAAATCACTATGCTTGATTAAGCTTCAATAACAACTTTTAATCATGATAAAATAAAAATGTGAATATTATTTGGCACAAATGAAACAAGGAAATATCCGAAGATTTCCGAGTGTTACGACGTTTTCCGAATGCAAGTCAAAATACCGGTTTTCGATCAGCGTATCGCAATACGTATCGTTTTCATGTCTGAACCGGTAAACCGGTTATATTGCGCAACCCTAGCGTTTACAGAACAAGGTTTTTAATCTGGTCGAATCTGCTACTGACATATGTCAAGCGGATCCTGGTGTGAATAATGAACACCACTCTACACAGAAACTCCGTGCATGGTATACGCCGCGGACGTACATCAAACAGGCTATATTAGAACAACAGGAGACCAAATAAACTGACTTTACACATCTGTAGCTTTGGGACTATTTTACAAAAAACACAACATAATCATTTTGTTAAGCTGTACGTTGCCAGCGCCGCTCGTTCCTCGCCCAACGTAAAAGATTCAGTCGATGTTCAATGCCCAAATACCAGCTGTGTACTTTCTTTGGTACGTCAGTATAGATTGGTGATGAGACTCCGTGACTTGGTTGGTCACTTGCCTTCGTAAGCTCTTATACTGACATCAAACGTTAGCCTTGCTCCAAGGCTGTACTGAATGCTAAGCCCATGGGTGTTTAGTAAGTTGACAGCTAAGAAAGCTAGTCTGTTATTGATACATTTCTTAGATGACCCGTGAAGATCGGGGATAGAATTGATCTTCAGTAACCCATGCTTTTCGTAAGAGGTCACTAACGGGATCGGGTGGTCAGGCTCGCTGACTTGGTTGACACATATCATCGTATCCGTACACGTAGACTGTCTCACAGTCCCTGAACCACATTAATTTCCCTACTGCCAAGTCCTCTCTGCAGTGCTAAAGCCCTAAATGAAGCATGTCTATAGATTTCCTCAGGTTCAGGAATCTCTGGTCTCCCTAGGGCTCCTTTTCAATATAAATGGGCTTGTTTGTTACTATCAAAATTATATATATTCAGAGACTAAGCCTTAGTCTACCGTACTCGGAGAGATCGGAGCACTACGACTGCATGATGTAAAAGCATTGGAGTTTCGATGACCGTAGCGATACAACCTTTGTGGACAATAAGCGAATTACGTCATAAGCGGCCATACGGTTAAGGTGATCGTAACTGCCATATCTTAACATAGACTTACGACTACTGAGGCACTACAATCTAGAGCTCTTTGTGGTTAAAGACTGTAGTCCTTGACATATGCTATTCCCACGCTTCCGATTGCATTGATGGCAAGATTTCGTTAAACCGCCATGCACGACAAATGACGTGTGTGACGTACTCAGACAAGCAATTACACAAACAGGATCTTAACGAATTAGACTGTGGCCGGGAGTTTCAATACCAACTGAATAGCAACAGTGGCCATTGATATATGTCAAATGGACAAAAACTGTGGACATAATATATCATACACTTCAGTATCCGTTGACAAATGGTGCATGAATTGCGCATTCAGTATTGTTGATTGCGTCCGTTTATTGCAGTGCACGCTTACTCTGCACACGCTGTGAAATTGCTGCTGTGTTTGTTTACGTAATACTTATCACAAAGGCGATCAGCTGACGTAAATAACATACATGTGTATGGATATTTGAAACTCTTACATGCTCTAGTGAATATGTATGAACATATACAAGTAAGTCAAGCTCACGTTGGCACATACGAGACTTAAAGTAATTGAAATTGGGTTTCATTTTGAATGTTATGACCCAAGAAGAACGATTTCTAAAACAGCTTTAACCTCTGTTGACAATTAAACAGCAGAACGCCAATGCATAAATGATAGTTTTGCAAGTCACGGGTAGGTTTTTTTTCTACTTCAGTGCAGGTCAGACTCTTGACATTGCACAGGATAGAACTATGTCAGGTAAATTAAATTTCGCCGACCTACTTAGATATTAAATAGTGTAGACAAAACATTTTTTAGTCTGAATATCTATGCGGCAACGTCCCTGATGTGTGCGTGTAGTAATATAGGCATCGGTATGTATACAGATTAGTAGGTTAAAGACAAATAATTTATTTCTGGCTTTATTCGAAGTTGTCTGTGGTACAACTAATGCATTTAATAATGTTAATGTGGAGGGATGACGAGCGACTCTGTCCACAGCGGTTGGTTTGATGGGAGATGCCCTCAGGAATTGACAGCTTTATCTGTGAGTGAGTTTAATTTTACGCCGCTATTAGCAATATTCCAGCAATATCACGCCGAGGGAAATCAGAAATCGGCTTCACACATTGTACCCATGTAACGAATCGAACATGGGTCTTCGGCGTGACGAACGAACGCTTTAACCACTACGCCCCCTTTATCTTTGAGCATGCGCAAGGTGTAAATACAAAATACAAGTGCACTTGTATCCCAGCGTCTTGTCTTTTACTGTTTCAAAGTAATTGCCGGGTTTTTGCATGTATTCCCTGAGTGATAAACCTGTAACCAGCATCAATATAATAATCTTAAAGTCCACCTTAACATTATGTTTGAAAATTTAGATAATCTGTTGAAGAAATACGTCCATCTAATGTAGACGTTCATCGTTAATGAAGACCTTGGCATGAATTTGTAAACACAATGTGAAACAATATAAATATTCCCTCCTACAACAATGGAAGCAGCTCAAAACGTCATGCTGTCATATATTTCCAAGGAACAAACGTTAATGTTTTGTGGAGATACATACAAGCAAATATAATTATGAACAGCAATGATAATTTATGCTCAGATAAATATTGAAACACTTACTGCATGGTTGTTGATCTGCAAGTTTTAGATATCCGTCGATGGCTGAGCGCTCTGGATAACTTCCACCTCTCAGACTCAACACACAAGCATATCCCAATAGAAAACCGCAAGTTGACTGTTTGCTACAGCTCCTGGACCAGAGATATTTATTACCAAGGGAGGTAACTCTGTCCGGCGTAATCGCGGTCTATTGCCGTTCATTCAGCTTGGACTGAAGCGCATTTTTTCTTACCAGCCTATGTTGATCCATGATATTAAAGGAACAAGATGAAGGGTTTCAGAACCCTTTTTTGCAAACTTTATTCCGATGTTTAATGTTAAGAGTGAAAATTACATCTAGCAGAACATTTGCAGTCGGTTTAATCTTAGTTTGCTGCAGAAATAAATCCTGAAATAAGAGATTACTTCAGGACCTATTTCTTCAGCAAACTAAGATTAAACCGACGGTAAATCCCTAATACATATGATAACGGCACCTCGTAAGCGTATATGGGCTTTTTAGTGTGAAGTTTTAGTTTTCACAGGAAATCGTTCAGATGGAAAACAGTTACGTAACGTTCGCTTCAGGCGTATAGCGTTTCAATATTTAATTTTCAAGAAATGTTTTGTTGAAATGATAGCACAACTATCGGTCGATCATGTTAAGTGTTAACATGACTGATGTTTGTTGTTTCGCTACTGAGAAACAGGTAATGCGGAAATCACCCGAAGGCACCCCCACCATCACCCCGCTGTACCGTCGCCGCAACCCGTGCATCAATCTCGACGGTGTTCAGTCAGGTGTTGGTACTTCCATACACCTGGCCCCTACATCGGCTGTTCTCAAAAGTGCGGTGAGGTTGGGTAGCCTAGAGGTTAAAGCGTTCGTTCGTCACGCCGAACACCCGGGTTCGATTTCCCACATAGGAACAATGTGTGAAGCCCATTTCTCGTGTCCTCCGTCGTGATATTGGCGTGATATTGCTGGAATATTGTTATGAGCGGCGTAAAACTATACCCTCTCACTCACTCATTCACTCACTCACTCTCAAAAGCATCATACAATAGAGACCGATCATGCATGACACATGGAAACATTTTAAATGATTTTTTATCTGATATTATCGTTATTTTATTCACGTTTACAGCTGCTGTTGGTAAAGGTAATGAAAACAGAACAACTTATTTTATACACAGCAGCCCCTATGATCGTGTTGGTTTTCAAATCACGTTTTCAAGCTCTTGCGGCGACCTTTGACCTCGGTCGTTATCTCAATTCCGTTCTTCCGGCAGCGCGCTTTCATCTCGGGATTATGGGAAAGTTAATAACATTTTGTATAAATATTTGTTGATAGACGCAATCTACGACTCTGTAATAAACAGTGGCAAATACATTACCGAGTCGTATCTCCATACAAGCATGACCAGAGACCATATAATAGACGATACGAAAGTGAAACCCTATTGCCGGACAGAGTAAGGTTTGTGGGCGGGGATCGTTGCTCGACGAACGCGGTTGCCAGGTTACGCGAGCTATTAAAAATTCGACAAGTGTGTGAATTTAAATCATGATTTTATATTGTGCGACGTACGCCCCTTTCATGAAACTCATAGTGCGTTACAAAGTCCGACATGTTTGGTTTGCTGCTACTTGTGTGCAACAACAACAACACCAACACCAACAGAGCTGAAGATGTTGCAAATGTCGCTGACCCTAGACATTGTCTCACCTGATACGTTTCCTTGCAAATATAACCAATCCCTTATTCTCTTGTGCACGCATTTCAAGAGCACTTTTGATTCATGTTTCATATGTTTAAACTCAGTGTATGTGAGAATAAATTGTTGGAGGATAGCTGAAACTTGAGATATCTGATTTTAACTCAGTCAGGTTGCCATGCCAGTCGAAAAGTCGAACGAACGCAAACATTTTATGACCCGGAGAGGTCTTTATGCTTGTTTATCACTGAAAGGTCAACAGAACACGTTTGACAGCCGACGACTTGATCCCGAACTATCCCGGTACGTATTTTACGTTCGCTTCACAGAATTAGTTCCACACAACCTCCCCACCCCGTCCCTCCTGCCCCCGTCCCATGATGTATTGAGCTTCAAACTGTTTTCAGAATTGTTCCATTTTGAGAATTACTGAGTGTGTAATTGATTCAGAAGTCGTCAATAGATGCAGCATCATGTAACACGACGGGGCTGCAGTGGTGACACAGCACTATCCCCCAATGTAGGTCACGGCTATACGGGTCGGCTGTCTTACAGTCAGCAGTACTTACTCGGCGTCAGCGTTCCAGTATAGTCTCACGGTCCCTGAACCACATTATTTTCCCTACTGCCTAGCCCTCTCTGCAATGCTAAAGCCCTAAATGAAACACGTCTAGATTTCCTAAGGTTCTGAACCTCCCATGTCACTGGGACTCCTTTTCAATTTTAAATGGATTTATTTGATATAACTATCACAATTTAATATATTCAGAGACTAAGTGTGAGTCTAGTTCCAGAACCTGTACCACCCAGACCAGTGTACCTATAGCCTGTACCTGTGTGCTGTGACAGTCAATCAGGGTTAGGCCAGGTACAGTGCATCAGCAAGCAAGCTGGCGATGTAATACTTCAGAGGTTTAGTTAGATATAAATAGACTCATAAAACATCTTGATATGACAAATTCGACACACTATTTGGGCATATTATGTACATGCATGTCAGTATAATTTGTAATTGTGATTCTTTTTAGAAATGCGTGAACCTAACCTTTCAGACTGTTGTACCATATTGTTATGCATAACATTCACCAGTACGCACGCACGCACGCACGCACGCACGCACGCACGCACGCGCAATTCAATAAACAAACGAAGGTCCTGGACGAAGTTCAGAAACTCTCAAGAAAGTACATGCATTTGTAATCTGATCCCTGTCACATCTAAATCGCCACGTTTCAGAGTAATATGCAACGTGTTAAATTACCCACTTCAACAGAATGCAAATGATCTCTCACTTCAACATCACCTACAGAATAAGTCACGCGGTACCTACACACCCGGAGTACACCCCACATACCCCTTTTAATGCTCCTCCGGTCAAAGCAGTCTGGAGTCGCCAAGCCGTGACAGTGTGAGAAGTATGGAAACACTAATATCAACCATTACATTAATTGTATCGGTAAAACTGCGTGTTTCGAATGCCTTGTCCGACCTGGCGTGGGTGCGATATATGTCAAAGGAACATCGTGTATAGTATAGGGTATAACGACCTTTATAACACATCACGTGTCCATGCATGTCAGCGCCTCTCTCGTCTGTAATACAGACCCTGAAACAAATGAAATACAAAACAATCATTGTTCTGCAGATTTGTTTAGTCTCTGAAAATGAAGAAAGTCTCAGGGCACCTCTCTTATTAAATTTTATGGATGTTAAGTAGAAACTGTTTTCTTTCTGTTGACATCAAAGACTAGATGTTAGTCTACGCCTCTCAGTTTTGTCAGGCCACTGGTTGTGATAAGCCAGAGTTCTGTCCATTACGAATTTAAAAGCGACCCTCATTAACGTACTGTGAACACCTGAGTGTTACTAAAGTTGACTGAAAGTAGGTATGAAGCGCTATTTTCGTATGACAAAAACGTGCTATTTACGATCTCCGTATCATGTTTCCGGTCAATGAATCCGGGGCTTGAAAGTGCAACAGACTGTATCCTTATCCCAAGCCACAAGAGCAGCTTGGATGATGCCATTCTATAAGGGATAACATTACTAGCTAGAGCAGTAGGGAAATTGTCAATATATAGACGCGATATTATAGAGACCAGAGGGAGTGTTTCTAAGACCGAAGGGGATACTGTCAACGCCAGGAGGGATATTGGCTAGACTAGTGGGGATACTGTCAAGACAAGGGATATCCCCAAGAACAGTCAAAATATTGTCAAGACTAGAATGACTATTGTCAAGGCCAGGGGGGATATCGTCAAGACCAGGGGGTATTGTGATGGCCAAGAGTGATATTCGCTAGACGAGTAGGGATATTGTCAAGACTAGAAGGAATATGGTCTAGACAAGAAGGGAGATCTTCAAGACCAGGATGGCTATATTGTCAAGAGTGATTGAGTGAGTTTAGTTTTGCGCCACCCTCAGCACTATTCCAGCTATATGGCGGCGGTCTGTAAATAATCGAGTCTGGACCAGACAATCCAGTGATCAGCAGCATGAGCATCGATTGTCAAGGCCAGAAGGGAGGTCGTCAAGACCAGGAGGGCTATATTGTCAAGGCCAGAAGGGAGGTCGTCAAGACCAGGGGGGCTATATTGCCAAGGCCAGAAGGGAGGTCGTCAAGACCAGGAGGGCTATATTGTCAAGGCCAGAAGGGAGATCGTCAAGACCAGGGGGCTATATTGCCAAGGCCAGAAGGGAGATCGTCAAGACCAGGGGGCTATATTGCCATGGCCAGAAGGGAGGTCGTCAAGACCAGGAGGACTATATTGTCAAAACCAGAAGGGAGATCGTCAAGACCAGGAAGGCTATATTGTCAAGGCCAAAAGGGAGATCGTCAAGACCAGGAGGGCTATATTGTCAAGACCAGAAGGGGGATCGTCAAGACCAGGAGGGCTATATTGTCAAGACCAGAAGGGGGATCGTCAAGACCAGGAGGGCTATATTGTCAAGACCAGTAGGGAGATCGTCAAGACCAGGAGGGCTATATTGTCAAGGCCAGAAGGGAGGTCGTCAAGACCAGGAGGGCTATATTGTCAAGGCCAGAATTGAGGTCGTCAAGACCAGGAGGGCTATATTGTCAAGGCCAGAAGGGAGATCGTCAAGACCAGGAGGACTATATTGTCAAGGCCAGAATTGAGGTCGTCAAGACCAGGAGGGCTATATTGTCAAGACCAGAAGGGAGATCGTCAAGACCAGAAGGGCTATTATATTGTCAAGACCAGAAGGGAGATCGTCAAGACCAGGAGGGCTATATTGTCAAGACCAGAAGGGAGATCGTCAAGACCAGGAGGACTATATTGTCAAGACCAGAAGGGAGATCGTCAAGACCAGGAGGGCTATATTGTCAAGGCCAGAAGGGAGATCGTCAAGACCAGGAGGGCTATATTGTCAAGGCCAGAAGGGAGATCGTCAAGACCAGGAGGGCTATATTGCCAAGGCCAGAAGGGAGA